ACTCCGGGTAGGCCATCCCGCAATACACGCAAGCTCTACAAGCAAGATGTTGCCTACCTATAAGGCGCTATGAGACAGCTGAACTTGGCAATTTCCCCCCCCCCCCCTCCTCAGGCCCGGAACTGCAGTTAGGCGATTCGTTTGCCCTCCTGATGGTATCTGTACCTGATTTAGCTCTTATTTCAGCAACTGTCACTAAATGAAATAACAGAATGTAATTAACTACTTTACTCATTTTATTTACTAAAATAGATAAATTGCGTTCGGACAAACGAGCTTCGGACAATCAGAGCCGTCTCGCAAGTGTGTGATGGAATTTCTCCAACGTGTTGACACTTTCCCATAAGAAAGGTATGTGAATTCATTGAGACATTGGAGAAAATTTGGATGGGCCCCAAGTGTATACTGTTCATTTGCTGAATGTAGACATTTCGTCAGGCCAGGCTCTATTGTACTCATCATGAGGACTGCCGCCGGGGTGTCTACATTTAGGGAATGAATTGATCCATGATGCCTGAGGCATGATCGAGCATATTGTCATCTAGGTATCATTTCCAAGATAAATAGGGTTTACTTATTTTGTTTATCTGTTGTTGGTGTGGTGAGCAATGATTTTCCGACCAGTGTGAACAGAGAGATACAATTGAATTCAAATGAAGTGGGATGTGTTAGATAACATAATATACACTGATTCAAACATGCCAGCATGTTTTATTTTCTCACAGTCTTCATGAAAATAGATACTTCTTTTATTTAAAAATAACATCTAAAAATATCACGATATCTGTCTTTATCTATCTACATATTCTTATAGTATCTTACAAATTAAAAAAAATATGGTTAGATTACAGGTACAATATCTCCCAGGAAAATATATTTGCTCAGGTAGCACCTAAGCTGTATTCAACATAGAAGCTGTGAAAATCTGTTGAAGTATTTGAGGTATGTCCTTTAAATCCATACAAACAAATGCTCTTCCAGCTGGCATTTGCTTCGTTAATCTGTAATTCAAAGTAAAATGCAGATTAAAATTTGAATTGAAGCAAAAAAAAATAAATCATGCAGCTATAATAGCTTACTTTGCTGCTTGGTCACCCAAAGATCCAATGAAAATTGCATAAGCATTCACTTTAGTTTCCTCTGTTAGTGCTGAGGCAAATCTCTTGGGTGGGATTCCATACCGCTCTAGGTTGGCGTCAGAGAGAACCACAACTATAGCATCATCACAGTCTTCTTGAGCGAGGCTACTAATGGCCGTTTTAGTTGCAGCCAATGTATGATCTCCAGACATGCAGAACTGAGCATGTGCGTGCATGGTCTAAGCAAACCAAAGGAAATAGATATAAATATATATAGAGAGTTGTCGTGGAACAACAACCAGCACCACATTGAAAAATATAAAACAATTCTTACTTTGATCACATCCAAACGCTGTTTATTATCCTTTGGAGGCTTTGAAGAGTCAACAAATTCAATTCCGTAGCCCTCTCCAGAATGGCCATGAATATCATAAAGAATTTTATCTTCATGACCCTGAAATGCTTCCATAACAAGTACCATGGCTTCCATTTCCCTATCAAGACGACCATCATACCCATTGAACCTGTATCAAAGGAATACCAGATAGAGATCTAAAGAGTATTCCTTAAGCTGATTCACTAGATTTCTCACTTCCTCTCTTCTACCTGTACATGCTGCCTGAGACGTCTACAACAAGACGTAATCTCTTCGGTTTCATTTGAGGAGCACCTAGTTCAGGCTCAGCCTCAGCACGGCGCCTGTATATTGTCTTCTCCCCAGTTAAACCTAAAAATGTAGGAATTACACACATTACAGTGATTAAAAAAACCACATAAAATCTTGAGTCCTATGAAACATCCCTCACATCTACTTACCTTCAATTAGTTTTGTATCATCAAGTTCCCCACTGGTCTGATGTCGTAGCCACTGCCTTTCTTTTGATTTTGCCTGAAGGCTGCTTAATACAACCCTTAATGATTGAATCTAGAAAGACAAGTTACAATAAATGACTTGATTGCATGATGGATCTAATTTCTAGAAATATGACTTTAGAAATATGGCGCTAACTCAACTACACATTGGTGCAAAAAGACTTATTACAGGAAACGGCATTCATACCTGTTTGCTCACACCCTTGTGAAACTGTTCATACAAAGTGGCATCATAAGAACTCATTTGAATTTCTTTCAGTCTTTGCTGAAAAGCTCTTTGACCCATCTCCCGTGCTGCTTTTTTCACATGTTCCGGAATGGCCTCTTTTTCTGCGTCACTCAGCTAAAAAATCCAAGCATACTAGATATAAATAAGGTAGGTACAAAATATATGAAAGGATTTCAGACATATTGAGCGATATTCAAACCTGGTGGACTTTATGACCAGCATCAAGGCGATAGGGTCCACCTTTCCCACCAAGGCCTGCCGTGTCACGACCACCTGTGCCACCTGCCCAGGTGTTCCCTCCCACATGAGGATCATTATTTTTGTCTACTTTACCATGTTTTGGGTTGGACACATCAAGACCGCTATATCGATCAACAGTTAACTGCAAATCATCCCTTCCTGCAATTTCAAGTTCAGCATAAATAAACAACAGGGGAGAAAGCAACACTTACCTAATACTAAAATGTTAATACAATATATGACATGCCTGTTCCAAGCATTTTCTGCCAATCATCTAAACTCCGCTCAAGTTGTGCTAAACCTGTCTCCCACAGGCGAACACAACCACCTTTATCTACAGTCACTAGGCCGCTATTGCTCCTCTCAGCAATAAGAATTGGCTGCTGTGAATTAGAATAAACATATGCTGAGGCTGTTGAACTGACCTTTGGCCTACAAAGAAAAATAATGTTTTGTAATTTAGAAAAGTAGCGTTAAAAGATGCAAACTTTTCATAAGGTAAATTTTTTATGTACTTACTCAGGAACTGGGACAAATCTCATTTTGTGATTAACAACATCGACAACTTCAAGATAGCCGGCTAACCCTTCATCATTTTGCTGGGCAATGGCAGGAGGAACTTCCCCAACTCTGATAGGTCTAACTATCTGCATTAAAAAGAAGGGATGAGATCATACCTACTCTGAAACAGCTTCTCGTAAAATGCACTAGGAGGCTTTTCTTTTTCATAAAACTCACCTGTCCAATGTCAGACATAACAATTGCGGTAGATTTAGAGGAAACACCATGTTCTCTTTTCCATGAATAAACCTCAGAAGCTGTGAGATCCAAGTCTGGAAATCCTACGACAACTGTGGCCAAACTTTTAGAAGTTGAAAGTAAACGGTTAGGGGCACTGATTTTTTGATCCAGGGCCTCAGACAATGCTTTGGATCCCAAACCAGTTGAATCACATTGTATAACAGCACCAATGGGTACCTGGACTGAATCAGAATCAGTCCCCTCCTGATGCATAATTCTCAGAATACTTGGGCAGTTATCATTTATGTTTTGTTTCTTTAATGAATATCTCCTAAATAGGAAAAGAAATTTAATAAAATAATAAACTGTAGTATAAAAATATGCAGAGATACTCAAATGAAGCAACCAACCTTTGCTCAGAATCACTCAACAGCCAAGTGTCACTTCCAGCAACATGAAGACTAGAAATGTCAAATGGAACAGCCAATGAATGTGCAGTCATATTATCAATATTGATCAGATCTATCTTAGATCCATCCTTTTCATACAAAATCTAAAAGCAAGAACACAATCATGTCACTACATACTCAGTCAAAAGAAAGCACATATTCACCCCTAAAATTTCTTCAAACCCAGTAGCGCCACTTACCACATTATTTGAGCCACAAACAGGCACCATTTTCCATCCTGTTTGCTGTCTCCCTCCACCAAACCGCTGAGATATTTTCTCAGTGGCTTGATCAAGCAGTGATGCTACTGGTATTGCACTGGCTAGTTTATTTTCTGTATCCAAGAGAACTAAACTGTTTGACTAATGATAAAACACAGAAAAAAATCATTGACTTTAAAAATGAAACATTATATTTGGACCAATGAGAAAAAAAAACATTGTGGAAACTTACAGATTCTTCATGAACAAGAATAGAGCCCTTTCTGAAACCATCTAATGCGATTATAGACACTTGCGATCGTGAAAATCGATTAGAACCCAAAAGTCCTTGCATTGACAAATAAAGAGCTTTGTCTTTATATGGAGACATTGTCAATACTCCTAAGGGATTCACTGTAGCCACATGAATGAGATCTTCTGCAAAATTAGATCCTGAGGGAAAAAAATTCTCAGTTTACTTTCTTTGTTTTGAGTCGCTGTATTAAAAATAAAACTATAGTAACCTTTAGTAACAGCTAATCCTGATATGATAGTTGATTCGTTTACTGGCATGTTCCAATAACTCTGCATTTCACTGAAAAATGTTGAGCGTGCTTCCACTTTATCAACATTAAAGATTTCATGTGGTACTGACACAGGCCGTTTCGTCTTCAAAAACCTCTCTTCAACTCCAAGGGATGAAATTTGTGTTTGAATTACCAGCCACTGCGCCACTTGTTTCAGAGGAGGGAGAGGTAACCTGGTAATCAAAATGAGCATTTTACTAAATCTAGTAATTTTACAAAGCTTATACAAATCTTTAAGTAATTGTAAAGCTTGGTTTTCTGGAGGATGTATCAAGGTATTTAACGAGACAAGAGTTAGTTAGACAAGTTTATTTTAAGGATAGATAGATAATTTCTTATTCTAGCTTTCATCATTAACATCTAACTCACAATTTCTTTGGAACCAAAAGAAAGTCCAAGATACATCACAATTACATATAACAGAAAGACAATAAAATGCACAAGTCCAAAAGTTAAAGATAAGATAAATAAAATCATCTTACTCTGTGGCTAAGGACACATTTGTTGGCTTGGCCCCAACTGGAATCCCATGTTTGTGAAGAACACTAACTAAAGTTTCCAAAGTTTCTTTACTGTGCTGATCAAAGTCAAAGACATTTGAAACAACATTTGCCAGCCCTTCATTAGGGAATTTCTAAAAGAAGAAAATTAAAAAAACAAATGTAATACTGTAAATGCTTACAAACAAAACTTAAATACAAACTACTCTAGTATATTAATTTTATTTCATAGAAGCTTGAAAATGTATTCCGGTACTTAACTTACCTGCAAATGTTTCACAATATTTACAACCTCTCTGGTAGAATATGGATAATTTACAAGACCCTGATCTGCCATGTTGCGAAGCTCACCAAATGCTTTTACAAGTTTCTCTATTAAAGCATCAGGCACATCGGGTCCATAGCTCTTAAGTAGTGCTCTCTCGGATTCTGGACTAGGATTGTCAACAGAATGGCAGCTGAATAAATCTCCTAGTAGAACAGCAGAAAATTCACAAGTTGTCAAAGCATATTTTATTTCAGTGCATTAAAAAAATAACCTCATGAAAGTGCCGCTTACCTAGTGAACCAAAGAAATCATTACCCAAAAAGGGAAATCCAGGTCTATTTGCAAGAACAATCATCCTAAAGTCTGGATGTATAGGAATAATGTTAGGAGTTGGGGAAGAGGCTCGTATGTCATTTGAGGGTACTATTCTTCTCCCATCAGACAAAATCATTTCCCCTGACTCCACCAAGGTCTACAAGAACAAGGTTGTGCATTAAATTTAAGTGATCTTTTGAAATTGTAAGAATTAGAAAAATTAATACAGTGCATCCCGCTTAAACCGTCGCGGCCGACTTTCGCGAAATCGCAACGGTTAAAGCGGGAAACGGTTTAAGGGAGGTCCCCGAGGGACTAGAGACTTGACTCGGGAATTTCGGTTTACAACGGCTTAAGCGGGAAAACGGTTAATGCGGAGCGCGGTTTAAGCGGGATGCACTGTAATAAAGCAGAAATACCTTCAAAATGCATGTAACATGAGTTGGTGCTTTATCTGCTTCATCAACCACTAAAACATGTCCAAGCTTAACAGCAGTCACTAAAGGTGAATCGTCATAGACAACAATTCCATCTCTTACAGTTGGTTGCAAAGTAAGTGTTTGAACAGTTGTATCTCTAAAAACCATGAATCATATCATAAAATATGATTGTTTAATTTAAATGTGCTCATATAATTTTTAATTTAGAAAAGTAGAAGATTCCTATAGTTACCTGTGCAGTTGAATGTACTCTCTTGGCCGATTTAATATTTGCAGCAGCCTGTCAGCCACCTTATTCTTCCCAACACCTTGATTTCCGACGAGTAAGAGGTGTTCACCAAGGACAAAGTCTTGCAACAGTGCTTCAAGAAGTATAATATGCTACCAAATTCAAGGTTGAACATACAGTCAAATGCTTAATGAGGTAAATGCATTACAATTCAGCTGATTTTATAGATAATAAATACCTGAGGTACATCATAAAATAGAATATCAGGAACTTTTGATTTGGCAGCAGTATCAGGATAGCGTTTGGCTGTAGTACCTCCAATTGTTATGGAATCACCATTAATAATAACACAATCTGCACTTTTGGCATCTCCATCTAATTCCTTTTTTCTCTCAACATTTAATGAAGATAGAAGTTTTTCTAGTGACTGGCGGGCAATGTTAGGAAGAAATCTGTAATCAATATTTCACATTCTTAAGTCTTAAGTTCATTATACACTAGATGATGAGGACAATTTTGACTGTTAAAACTGAGACGTACCTTGCTAAAGATGCCCTTTGCACTGCATCATAAGATGCATCTGAAGGGAATGAAGCCATCCTCCTTGCAATGCGAAGAAGTTGCCGTGTTGATAGAGAAGGAGCAATGGCACGAAGTGTCGGATCTTCTGACTCTCGAAGATTATGAGCTACCTCCACCACACTTTCTACAGTATATGACGGCTTACCATACTATAATCAGAACAAATACAAATTATCTCATGTTGACGTTCAAGAAGTTAACAGCTGCACTTTACGAAAATAACTTACAAGGTTGGTAATGATTGAAAGCTCTTCTTGACTGCTTAAAGGTCTCATTTCATGAAACAAAAACAAGTTGAGCAGTTCTGGTGTAAGCCACTGCGTGGAGCCTTTCCCTGCGAAATAAAGGCTCGTGATTAATCGACGTAGACTCGAAAGTAAGGAGTGCATCATCCAAACAGCTGCTTACCCGATGAGGGTGGTTCAGCCAGGGCGACGATTCTGAACGACGGGTGTATCTTTTGCACGCCCGCCGCTGCCATCTGCTCCTCCGTCCAGCTCATCTTCGCCCTCAGCTCCTCGTAGCGGTCGGCGCGCAGCAGGCGGCGGCCGTCGTGCAGCTGCAGCTCGCGGTCCTGCGCCAGCCTGTGGATGACAGCGAGGGTGCCCGGGTGCACGCGGTGCAGCCCGTCCAGCACGGCCAGGTGGCCGTTGAGGGCGGCGCTCACCAGCGGCGAGTCGTACCACACCGTGTCGCCGTTGGGCAGCGTGGTGCGCTGCTGCACCAGGTCGCGAGACGTCATGTCCTGTGGCGGGGCAGAAAGCGAAACAGGCAGACATGAGCTCGGTCCAGGCGGAAGTGTTCGAGGACGACCATGGTGAACGCTCGAGGGGTACTACTACACTATGAATTCAAGCGGAACACAAATTTTTCTGTTTGTTCTTGATTTTTTCTGATCCAAACAGAAAATGACCTTTCATAGACTTTTGAATGAATTTCTACTGATTTTGTAAGTTGATTTTCCTTGATTTTCACTGATTGGGTTTTCAGTGATTTTTTGAGTGAAATATTTCCCCGTGACGGTAGGCCTACCTGGAAGAGCACGATGGGCTCGATGGTGTATCCCAGGGTGGCGGCCAGCTGGCGCACCGTGGCGCTCTTGCCGCAGCCCCGCGGCCCGATGACGCACAGGTCGGCCGCCACGTGGCTCTGCATGAGCTGCGCCAGGAGCGACTCCTGGTAAGGCGTCTCGACGAACTTGGGCGGAGGAGTGCCACCGTCACCCGCCCCGCGCGACACCTGAGAGAGAGAGAGAGAGAGGCGAACGAGTGCATGAGCATAGATATGAGGAGAGTGAGGTACCAGAGTAAGCGGGAAAGATAACTGCTAATAACTAGGTAAAATTACCAAGTTTTTACTAGTGCAAAGAATGGGCAGGGCTAAAGAGCCTCCCAGTGAACGAGCCGCGAGAGGGTCACGGGTTCACACGTGGTGCAGGCCGGGCCGCTGTGAGACTCACCTCTACCTGGCTGGAGCTGCCGCCGTAGCTGATGGTGACGGCCGCCTTGTGCTGCTGCGCCGTGTCCGAGACCTGGCCGACGCGCAGCTCCAGCGGCCGCTCCGGCTCCGTCACCTGGAACGTGGCCAGCAGGTCCTCGACGGCGCGCACCCCGTCCTGGCCGAGCATGCTGCGGTACGGGTAGGCGCGCGTCAGCAGCGCGTGCAGCGGCAGGTCGGGGAACTCGCCCTGTGTGGTGGGGCGGACGGCAAACGTTGAGAAAAATACAATAATTGTTAGCAGTGCGAACGACGCAACGCGCCAACCGCAGCCGCTCTTCAAAACCACAAGAACTTGCAGGAA